ACATATGGGCGCTATTAGACATTTTTTTTCAATACCTCGTTAAGGAGGGTAAAAAAAAAACATCGATGTAATTCTTCGTAAGTGGGAGGTCAGATAAAAAAGGGACATATGTTTGAACGGTTGAAAGAGTCGATCTTAAAAATTAGTATTGATAGGATTACCGAGAGTTCGAATCCCTCTCCTTCCATTAAAAAACACGACATTTAGGTTTGTGGTAAATATTTGATAATTGATGATTTTGACTGGGAAGGATACGGATAATGTTTTCATAAACTAAAATAACATGTTCTAAAAATTTAAAGCTTATTACAAGCATGAGTACAGTATTATGACGGCTTGTGACATGATTAGGAAATGTTGACCAATGTACACCTTATCATTTAAAATAAAGTCAAAGTGGTACACTCTTTTAATGATTATTTGGAGTAAGTCAAAGCATAATAGTAAGCGCAGATGTAGAACGAGGTCAACTCCATTACAAATTGCTCGAGTCAACTCGAAAAGGACAGATAGAGTTACTAGAAGAATTGGTTTGTGTGCAACTATAAGTAGTAGTGATGAGGATCGTGGAAGGTAACCTTCGTTCCAACATTGAAAATGACAGGTTCTATTAGACTATATTTGTAAGATCTCACGTCGTTTAGAGAGGAGAACGAAACATTACTAATAAGGCTGTGAAAACCTCTTTCTAATAGATATGTTTTAAAATATGAGGCTGACAACAATACGTAACGGGCCAAAGTGAACAATAATTGCTAATAGTGGGCTCGAGCGGTTACAAATGGTATCAGAGCCAAACACTGAGCTATGTGTCAGTGAGGGCGTTGGCCCCCGTAGCACGAAGTATTTTTTATAAAAATATGAAAATTTCTTTGTAACATACGCATTTTAAAACCGTGAAGGGACAGGGCCACACCAAATTGGGAAACATGGAACAAAATAAGGCCAATATCGGCCTGATTAGGGGCGATGAACATTTTTGTCTCAAAACAGGCGAAACTCTGTTAAACCCACCAAAAGAGAGGTTCGAACCCACCGAATGAAGCTTTGCAGAAGAATTCATGCTTCCGCACTTGGCTAAATGCAATCTCAATTTCTATTGCGTGTAATCAGCAATGCGGCAGCTTCAAGATCCAACCCTCGCGCGGCGGAGCAGAACTGTTTAGCGCTGCTTCAGGCCTGTAATTCGCTACCGAAGCTCACCCAAATCCACGCTCACATCTTCAAATTGGGCCTCCGCAACAACCCGCTCGTCCTCACCAAATTCGCCTCCATTTCCTCTGTTATCAATGCCACCGATTACGCTGCCTCCTTCTTGTTCTCTGCCGAAGCCGATACTCGGCTTTACGATGCGTTTCTATTCAATACTCTCATTAGAGCCTTTGCCCAAACTGGTCACTCGAAGGCTAGGGCACTGTCTTTGTATGGTATTATGCTTCACGATGGGATTTTGCCTAATAAATTCACTTACCCTTTTGTTTTGAAGGCTTGTGCTGGCCTTGAGGTTTTGAGTTTGGGTCAATCGGTTCATGGGTCGGTGGTGAAATTTGGGTTTGATCATGATGTTCATGTTCAGAATACTATGGTTCATATGTACTCTTGTTGCAGTGGTGGGATAATTTTTGCCCGCAAGGTGTTTGATGAAATGCCCAAGTCAGATTCTGTGACTTGGAGTGCGATGATTGGAGGGTATGCTCGTGTGGGGCGCTCCACTGAAGCAGTGGCCTTATTTAGGGAGATGCAAATGGCGGAGGTTTGCCCGGATGAGATCACTATGGTCTCTGTTCTTTCTGCTTGTACTGATTTGGGTGCCCTTGAACTTGGGAAATGGATTGAAGCTTATATAGAGAGACAAGGAATTCAGAAACCAGTAGAGGTTAGCAATGCACTTATTGATATGTTTGCAAAGTGTGGCGATATTGGTAAAGCTTTGAAGTTATTTAGAGCTATGAGTGATAAAACAATAGTTTCTTGGACTTCTGTGATTGTTGGCATGGCAATGCATGGCCGTGGCCTGGAGGCTATTTGTTTGTTTGAGGAGATGATAGGTTCGTCCAGTGTTGCTCCAGACGATGTCGCCTTTATCGGGTTGCTTTCCGCTTGCAGCCATTCGGGACTAGTCGAAAGAGGTAGAGAATATTTCAATTCTATGATGAAGAAATACAAGCTTGTTCCTAAGATAGAACATTATGGATGCATGGTGGACATGTATTGCAGGACTGGACTTGTGAAGGAGGCTCTTGAGTTCGTTCATAACATGCCGTTCGAGCCAAACCCGGTGATTTTACGAACGCTAGTCAGTGCTTGTCGTGGTCATGGTGAATTCAAGCTTGGTGAAAAGATCACCAAACTGTTAATGAGACATGAGCCTATGCATGAGTCAAACTATGTTTTGCTGTCCAACATTTATGCAAAGATGTTCAATTGGGAGAAGAAGACCAAAATTAGAGAAGTGATGGAAGTGAAAGGCATGAAAAAGGTTCCAGGAAGCACCATGATTGAGATAGATAATGAAATCTATGAATTTGTTGCTGGTGATAAATCTCATAAACAGTTCAAGGAAATTTACGCGATGGTGGACGAGATGGGGCGAGAGATGACGAAATCTGGATATCGACCTTCGACATCGGAAGTTTTGCTCGATATCAACGAAGAAGACAAAGAAGATACTTTGAATAGGCATAGTGAAAAACTGGCTATTGCATTTGGTCTTCTTAATACTCCACCAGGAACTCCGATTCGAATCGTAAAGAATTTGCGAGTTTGCACCGATTGCCACTCCGCTTCGAAGTTCATCTCGAAGATTTATGATCGTGAAATCATAATGAGGGACCGTAATCGGTTTCACCACTTCAAGGGTGGGCTGTGCTCGTGTGGAGATTTCTGGTGAAGTTAAAATAGCGCCACCAACGTGTCTTCCAGAATCGATGTAACAATCCAAGCCCACCACTAACAGAATTCAGCCACGTTCAGTTGCTTTTGCTTGGAAGGTTTCTTTGCCGCAACCAAAATAAGAAGCTAGTTTCTTCAGCTGACAGCTTGATCTCAAAGGCGATCGAACGAACAACTCGGTAACGTTCGACTTATCTTCAACTCCATTGTAGAAGATCTTTCAAGTAATCATAGTTTATGCTTAAAGGCTCTAGAACTTGATTCTTCCAAGTTATGAACTTCTCAATTCAATCTGAATTTTGCAGGCATGTCAAATTTCACTCTGTTTTGTTCAATCATTAAGGAAACTTCATCAAACACAGCACAGGATGCAGAGACTCTGAAATTATGAAAATCAAGGTAATTCCTGTTGAACATGATTAAGGTAATTGATTTACTATAAAGTCTGGATTAAATGATACGAGCCTTCCCACCTCGGGGAACGTGAATAAACCATAAAGTCATATGAGTATAACTCAACCGTAATTAACAGGTAGGTTAAGAGTAGAACAATTATTGGAAGTAATTTAGGGTTAGATGCACAAATAAAAGCAAAGTTTGTGCGTTTGGTGAGTCTCCGGTGGAGATGCCAAAAGTAAATGCGCTGTCTTCAATCTCTCTATGAATCGCTATCCAATTCCATTGAGTTCCCAAACAAGGTAGGTAAGCTTGTACCAACCCATGGAATTATCAAAAGTGTTTTTTTAAGCTTAAGAGAAGGTCCTACTGTGAACGAGTTTCGAGTTGAAACTGACGATTCGAAAACAAAATTAGAGACTACAGCTTCTAAAACCAATACTTTTATGCTTGTTCTTTGTTTCAGGGATGGTTAACCAAAAGCTGTGAGACCGAGTTTACGAGGTGAAGGAGAAAAGTTGTGAGTCCTTCTTATAATGCTAGGGACGATTGTCCGAAGTGCAAGCGTAAACTCGAACTCAGATAGGATAAGATTGTGCGTGTAGGGCCCTTTTAATCCGAATGAAGAGAGGGCTACTAGAACCGAAAAATCAAGCTAGTCTGAAGATGAATTGAAATTTTGGTGACGTTTAAATTAGCATTAAGTATTCTACCAAAATTTCAACGTGTTAATCTTTTCAAGCCCAACAAGTTTCTTTTCAATCCTTAATAATTAGAAGAAAGCAAACCCTTTTCGGACCTAACAATGAATAAGACCCATTGAATATTGTCTTTACCAATAATTAATATATATATATATATATATATATATATATAACTTTTGTAGTTTTGTCCATGGTCCATGCTGTGTACCAACTTTAAATATTCTATTTTAATAATTTTAATTTAATATTTAAAATCTATATTAAGATAATAATTATATTTTATTTATTAATCATTTAACAAAAATCGAAATTAATTTTTCTATATAAAACAGAATAAAAGAAATATAAAACAAAAATCGAAATTCTCATATTTTAAAAATACATAAACTAAAATTTAAAAATAATATATATATTAAAAATTATAGACCATCAATTTCGAGCACTGAAGCAGTCAATGGTGACCGATGACAGACCAGCCATTAAACTACTTGATTTTCGGTCGTTTCATTTCATTGGTCTCTTAGGTTTGATTGGGGCCCACCCTCCCCCAAACTCCTTGACTTTTAAACGTGTAGAAGACGGAAGTCAAATTCTGCCGCCTCCCTGCCTCGGTGATTTTATCGTTCCCTCTCCTTTAACATTAAATGCTAATTACGTTTATAGCCATTGATTATAAATAAACTCAATTATTAACTTAAACAATAACCATTGACCTGAAATGGATTTGTAACTCATTAAAACGATGACGTTTCACGATGTTTTTGTCGGGAGACATAGATCCATAAACTTTGGCCTCCCAACATCGAATTTCGTAATTATTTATTAAATAAAATTTTATTTCATAAAATATTTCTTTTTTATTTTTGTTTTTTAAAATATTTTTAAGAATATAGCTTTTGTCCTATGAAAGTGTCTAATTTTCACCACAAAATTCTTTGGATTTCTTATCCTCGAGGATAACAGACAATTTTCATTTTTATTTCCAATAATAATAATAATAATTTTTTTTTCTTTTTAAATCGTATGATAATTCATAAGAAACATAATAAATATAAAAATTAAAATACAATATTACATAAACAACTGAGAAATCGAAATCACTGTTAACTCAATCCTGTGGATCACTTCTGTTCCCTGTTCCCTCACCGGCGTTCTTCTCTTCCAACAATTTTCCGGCCTCCTCATCGGCCGCCGCCGCCTTCTTCTGCAATTCCTTGGCCTTCAACGCCTGTAATTTCGAGTGATTATAATACGCAACTCCCAAAAACGCAAGCCCATATCCAAACAAATTGATCGGCGTCACCGTATCCTTAATCACCGACCAAGAAAACGCAATCAGCAACCAATCCTTAACAACTCCGGCGACATTCATGGTCAACGCCGACGTCTTTCCGACGAGTAAAAACACAGCCAAATTCAACGCAAAAGCGCACAAAGAATTAGTCCCAAACACCAAAAAGTCAAAATGAAAACTCGACGACTCCTTCAAAATTGGATACTCCACCAACACCCACGGCACCAAAAGGAAGACGAAACAACAGGGGGCGACATAATACAGAGAAGTAATCGGATTCAAAGAAACCCCTTTTGAAGTAAGCAAAATTTGAATCATAACAAGTCTTGTAGCTTCAAAAGCAACAGCACCCAATTGAAGAAAAACCCCCCAAGCATTGAATTGAGCTTCGCCGTAGGCGGCGACGGCGACCCCAAATGAAATTGACAGCATATTGAACAGAGTATCGGATTTGAACGGCTCTTTTTTGAAGAGGACGCCGATGGAGTAGACGGCGACGGGCATGAGGGCTTTGAGCATTTGGATGAAGGAAACGGAGAGGTAAATGTAGGCGGAGTTGGAGAGCCAGAGGGAGAAGGCGTAGAGGGCGCCGATGGGAAGAACAGAGGAGAGGTAGAGATCTCTGGACATGGAAACAGGCTCGACGAGCTTGAAGACGCGGATTATGATGAAGGCGAGGGAGGCGCAGAAGGCCATGTGGATCATGGTTAGGGAGATTGGGAATGGCCAATTGTAGAGCTTTTTGTCGAGGATGAATTTGTTGTAGACGATTACAGTGAAGCTCAGGAAGATCCATATGGCGACGTAGGCGTAGGAGAGTAGGATTTTTTTGACGACGCCTTCGCTTAGAGCACCGCCTTTCCCCATCGTTTCCGGAGATGGAAGGTGGGAGGTGGCGGAGACCGCGACGGTGGAGAACAGGGGAGGAGGGAGAGCGCGACGATGGAAAACAGGGGAGTAGGGAGGCGGCGGAGAGTGCGACGGTGGAGAACAGGGGAAGGAGGGAGGGGGCGGAGAGTGCGACGGTGGAGAACAGGGGAGGGGAGTTGGAGAGGAGGGGATTTGTGGGAATTGGGCGGAGACTTTTTATGAATATATAAGGAAATAAAATAATAACAGATATACGGTTGAATCTCGTGGTTTGGTTATTAGTTTTAATTTTGATTAAATCAGTAACTAATTGATGATTATATATATATATATATATATAAATGTTTTGGGCTTTCATATCATTCCATGGGCGGCCCAAATAATTTAAATATTTATTTTTCTATATTTAATAATAAAGGGGTTTTTTTCCCCTTTTATATACAAATAACCATAATTAATTTTAAAAAAAAACTAATTTCAGTTCATACATGTATTTTGTAGGTGAATAGAAAATAATTAAAATTTTAAAAATAATTAAGTGAATTAAAAATGAGGGGAAAATTATTTTTGGTGAATAAAATATGATTTTTTTAAAAAATTTAAGAAGAAAAATAAAATTAAAGGTGTGCATAGAGCTGTACTAAGCTAATGGTCACATTGGCTCGGTTGGTCGAGGATAGCCTCGAACGACTATATCTAAGGCATGTTTGAAGCATCTGCATCGAGTGCTATGTATTCTTTCGGTTAACTTTTATTCTTTATTTTTTATTTATTTTTTAATACGAGATTTGTCTCTCTCATAACCTCTACCTTCTTTTTATCGGATCTCAAACACGTTTCTTTTATTTAGTTTTTATAGGAGAGACTCGGTTGTGTAACCGCTCTATGATCCAGACTAAGTTTTTATCTATTATGCTCATCCTTTTCTCGAGTTATGCAATTTTCTCTTTGTCCTCGTTGAGAATGAGGTTAAGGAGGTGTAACTTCCCGCATTCTTCACGAGTGATGATCTGTAGCTAAATCGTCGCTATCTCGAAGTCAACGGTTTTCTTAATATGCATGATCACCTTGGAACGTGAGGTACATGTTTCGAGCAAATTTAGAAGTATATTTAATTATTATTTCAGTTTATAAAACATTAAGCTCGTGAAGTAGCATTTGTTAGTTTTCCTTTAATTATTACGTCCATTTTTATCTCCTAAAAGACTAATTGCCATTTATTATTATTAATAATTAATTTTGTTAGCTGGTCAACAAAAGCGTTTGTAGTCCAACGGTTAGGATAATTGCCTTCCAAGCAATAGACCCGGGTTCGACTCCCGGCAAACGCATGTTTTTCTTGGATTTTTTTTTTAGGATTTTGGTTATCCATTTTAACAAAAACACTCAAGGAACAAGTAGAGCACTTAAAGCTTAAGGGAAAGGAATTGAGTTTTATATTTTTTTTTCCATAAAAAATTTCATGTTTTTCCAGGCACCGAAGTTGGTGGGGCAAGCGTCATGCCAGTTTTTTCTCGTTGGAAGCCACCTTTTCCCTAAATTTACTGTTAACATTGTGCGAAAGCTAAGCCAGATTGTTCGAGTCCTGATTTGAGCAGCAATAGTCATAAATAAGTAAGTTGTTTTTTTTTTATCTCACTTCCCAAAAAAGAAAAAGTGATAATAATTTTCATTTTCGAAATTATAGGGACTATTTACAAAAATTTATACAACAAAATATTGAATTTTTAAAGTCATAAAAAACTATATACTAATTTTCTAAAAAACAAGGCAAAAACTCAACCGAGAGACAGAAGTGTGTAGCATTGTGGTAAATCAAGCCGACAAGAAACACAACAAAAACAGAACAAAAAAACACGAAGAAATTCGTCAAAATAGTTGAAATTAAACTACAAAGTTCGGATTTTTATTAAAAACCCACGACGATCTTCGGTTTTTCCGAAATGGGTTCTTCACTTTCCGGTCAATAATTCCGATCTCCGTTCATATTTCCGAGCCCAAATATGCTTACCATTAGTACGAAACTTAGCAATTCGCTTCCCGTCGAGGATCCGATCCACCGCCACCACCGAACTCATCACCACTCGAGCGTACAGCGGCTGCTCGCCGACCGGAACCAACTCCATCTGAATACCCACAACGCACTCCCCAAACGCCTCTGTAAAAAGCCCCTTTATTTCCTCCGCCGACACCGGAAACCCCCGCGAAAATGTCAGAAACAGAGTCCGGTCGTCTTCCACTATGCCGCCGTCCGACATTCGCCACTCCCATAACCGACCGGTCGGAAAAGTATGGTTCAAACATTTAGGGACAATTGTGATCGAACCAAAAACCGGATGTGGAAACCCATTAATCACTAAAGCCGCATCCGATTGAGAATCGGTTCTTCCCAACACAGTCTCCAAAATGTCAGTAAAAACCCGAGAACAGACATTGGTGAGAAAGTACTTAACTCCACTGATTGCTCTGAACCGGTTTCGTATGAACAACACAACTGAGATTTCTGTTCCGGCCACCAAGGAGGTGGCCGGAAAGACAGGCGGAAGGAGAGTAGGGTGGGGCCCACCGCCGTGTCGGGAATCGAAAACGAGTGAGTTGAGACAGAAAAGAGCTTCATTAGCTAAGGAATTGATGAAGTGGTCGGGGAAAGGGATGATTTTGAAAATGAAATTGGTGAAGCCCTGTTCTTCGAGCCATAGCCAAAGGGAAATGATTAGAAGAGACTGGGCGGGATCTCGTGAGAGGTTGATCATCAAACGGGAGAAGAGCTCTCTATCAATGGCGTGGTAGAGGTGAAGCTCTTCTAAGCTTATGGAGGCCATTTTAATGGCGGATTTTGGAACAGATGAAACAGGGGAGAAACAGGGGAAAACAGAGGAGTTTGAGTTGTCTTTTTTTGTAGAGGGGATGGAAAAATGTTTTTATTAATTAATTAATTTATTTATTTATTTATTATTATTGTTATTATTATTATTTGGGTAATTTGGCAGTTGAAAAGCTTTAATGGGTGAAGTTTTAGATTAACCAATTTGAGGACTGAGCCAACCGAGTATATGAAGGAGCAGAAAGGTGCTTCTTTTCCATCTTTGGTTTTGTTTATTTATTTATTATTATTTTTTTTTTATTTGTATTTAATAAAGTAAATTAAATGTTTGAAAATACTCTTAAAACTTTTATAGATAGAAAGAACAGACTGTTCGAGAGCTACTCAAGGGTACTTTAGTGGAAATCGATAGGACTGGAGGTGTTGGGCATTGTTCATTATAACTCATGTGAGATCTCATGTCGATTGGAGAAGAGAACGAAACATTTTTTTTTATAAGGGTGTGGAAATGTCTCACTAGTAGACTCGTTTTGAAAAGCTTGAAGGGAAGTCTGAGATAGAAAGGCTAAAGAGGACAATATTTACTAGTGATGGGTTTAGGCTGTTACAAATGGTATTAGAGTCAGACATCTGACGATGTACTAGGAGGAGGTTGAGCTCTGAAGGAGACTGAACACGAGGTGGTGTGCTAGCAAAGACGCTGGGCCCTGAAAAGGAGTGGAATAAGGGGTCCCACATCGATTGGAGCAGGGAAGGATGTGGAAACCTATCACTAGTAGAAGACAATATCTGCTAGCGATGAACTTGAGCTGCCATAACTTAACAACCAAAAAGCTCCGTGCAGATCGAATATTCATAACTATATAGCTGGATCCAAATCAAAATGAAAAACAATTTATAAGATTATTAAATATATTTTATTACTAAACAAAAACTAATCTTCAATAAAAAAAAAAAAAAGAAATGAATTATGTATGTGGATGCAATCTTTGACCCATAAATTTACAGAAATTTTTTATTTTAGTTTTATAATAAATATTTCTTTAAATGGGTTTATTAATTTGTTTGTATTTAAAAAATGGAAAATTCCAGTTTAGGTCCTTTTAATCTTTCATATTTACGTGGGGGGTCCTTTAATTAACACAGACTATACATAGTAAATCTTCCTCTTTAGGTTTTCACAATTATGAAGGGTCTCAGAATAATTATCTTCCAATATTGAAGTAAATAAAAATAAATAAATAATTACTATTCTTAAAATTATTTTATTTTCCGAATTTGGATAAGTCACAGAAATTCTCTATGTTCCTAAATCGGAACTTGTTATTCATGGCTTCATTTTTTATTTTACAAATTAATTTGAAAACAATTATAAATTTTCTTAATTAAATACATCAAAAGTTTTATCTTAAAAAAGACTAATTTAAGAAATTAATTAAAGGATAACTGAATTCCAAAATCCCCATATTTATAAATTTTGGTGATTAAATACATCGAAACCTTATCTTAAAAAATAATAATTTAAGAAATTAATTAAAAGATTTTAATTAGGAAAGAATTTTAAATTAAAATTTTTGTGATTTAGCTATAATAATCGTAAGTAGATATATTTATTTCAATTATTTTTAAATTAATATTTAACATTTAGTCTATTATAAATTATTTTAAATTGCTAAATGTGAAATATAAACATGTAAAGGGTAGAGTATAAATTTTACCAAATAAGTAAAACAGTTAAAAAAAAAAAAAAAAAAAAAAGATTGACCATGGTAAAAAAGCAATCTCAAAACCAACTTACACCCTTCATCTTCTTTCTTACCTCTTTTCAAGAGCAAGCCCTGCAAGAGAAATAAACATCTAATAATACGAGAATAGACTCGAACACCATTCAAAAGACGGGATTCCTCGAGAACGAACCAAACAAACATCGTAATAAGAAACAATTGATAACTTCATTTCCGTGTAGTACTAAAAGCTCTAGAAAAATGGACATCTAAACATCTGGCAATAGGCACTAACAAAAGAGTGCATAAGGAGTCTCATAAAAATCACTGCAAACACTACCAACAACAGTCTACCGTAATTGTTCTGTCTTGCAGGGAGAGAAAGGGGTATCTAAAATATTACATTTCGATCATTCGTGGTTCGGAATAAAATTCATAAAGAGACTTCCCATGCAAGACAGCCCCAGCAATTAGAATACAATAAACTCAAATGGCAGCAGCGTGTACCACCACCACCACCACATCAAGAGCACATTACCCTCTCGCACCCAAGCCTAGTGCCAGTGGCTTCCATCCATTTCGAGTCCGATTTGGATTCGAACCACAATGACATGTGAACCACAAAGGCAACCCAGGTAGCTGATATTCTATGCTGAAGATCTCTACATCTATGATGGCACTGCAACCAACCAAAGTAAAATATTGGCACTACTACTCATAAGCAGAGGATAAATAAATACACCTCCACCACATCCTTAAAAACTCGGATAGCAAAATTAACATGTTTCTTTCAACCATCACTAAATGAGCAAAAATTTACCACAACGGCTAGTAAGAATTCAGTTTAAACAGATGGTAAAAAGGGAAATATAAATGATAATCAGGCTGAAGGGTAAACTACAAAAGAAAATGGAGTTCAGAAAGGAAAATTATCACACAAAAAAGAGGAAACAAGAGAACATACTGTATGTGGATGTATCAATCTGCTCTGGAAGCTCCTTAATATCTACTTCGAACCTTTCTTGAACCTGCAATGCCGAAGACTAAGAAAATGCCATCTAATGGTCACAGTAAGTATAATTAAAAGTTACATACATTGTTGAGAACATCAGAATCAGCTGCAGATGATACAAAAGTAATTGCAAGCCCTTTGGTGCCAAATCTACCAGCTCTGCCAACCTGTAAGATTTTTTAAGGAAGACTAAATATACACACTTGGGAAGCCCAATGTAGATGGTATAATGAGAATCGAAATACATAGGAATGATCCACGTTACCCTGTGCAGGTAAGTATCAGCAGAATCTGGCATGTCATAGTTGATGACAATGTTTACGCGTTCAATGTCAATTCCTCGACCAACCAAATCTGTTGCCACAAGAATCCGCTTATGTCCTTCCTTGAAACCCTTGTATCGAGTCAACCTGGCACATCATCTTTCCATATTAGTTATATTGATCTCAAGAAAAATCAATCACCTTTAAAAGTAAATGGGCAATTTTGCAACTTCCTACCAAGTAACGTTAATGCAGGAAAATAGTTATACATCTAGAGAAAGGAAGACACTGAAGTCACTATACCATAACTAACCAAAAAAAGGTCGAAGTCTAGAATGCCCATAAGCAGCAACATTAATAAGGAAAATGAATACACTTGGGCACAATTGAGTATGGAAAGTTTGAATGTGTAATACAACATCAGACCTACCTCTCTTCCTGAGACATGCCAGAATGGATACATATAGATGGAAAATTACACTCCACCAATAACTTATCCAGCTCAGCTGCCCTACTAACACTTTTAACAAAAATAACCACTTGATTGAAGTCCAATGCATCAAGGAGGTCGTTCAACTTCCGATTTTTCTCCATCTCGCTCAGTTTGATGTAGTGCTGACATTCCAAAAACAAACTTTAAGGAAAAAAAAAAACCTCAATCTATCCACAGTAACACAATGTTAACAACTGTGTACCTGGACAAGACCATGCAATGTCAACTTTGCCTCGTCATCGACATATATTTCCATTGGCTGAAAGGAACAAACGTCACAGTAAATCATAATACTTCCTCAAGATGAAGGAAATGAAAGAGCATGTTCATCCCATGAACCAAGATTGTGGTCCAACTGATCTGCCTCCCCTTTGCAGATACTTCTATGGTCACCAAGAAATACCGCAGATGCAGACTATTACACTAGTACAAAAAAAATCTGATAGGATACCCCAGAGCACACAGTTGGAAGTTAGAACCAGAACCCACTAAGAGAATAACAAGTGACACACAATGGGAGAGGAAAAGGGAAGAAGTGAGTGACTTTAACACCAACTACTACTTCAGAACCTCTAAAACTGTATCACCAACATACTCCTCCAATATACCAGTAAATTCCCGAAAAGGCTGTAGGTGAAGGAAGATAAAAGATAGTACACAAAAAAGAGATCCCTCCTGAACGACAAGAAAGTAGGAAACCCAACAGTAGACACCACAATTTGCAAAACTCTTAAGAAAAAGTGAAATTTAAAGGGAAAAAACTTCTAAATTGAAGGTTTACTAGCTGTGGGACATTACATCTTGCATAAACTTCTTGCAAACTGGGCGGATTTCTTTGCTGAGTGTCGCCGAAAACATCATAACTTGTTTGTCATGAGGAGTCATCTTGAAGATTTCCTGTACATCCCTCCGCATATCTGCAGTGTACATGAAGAGGGCATAGTAAGAAGATATGCCAATGCCAAATAATACATATATTAAAACATAGCCCATGAGACAACTAAAAGGACCCAATGGAAAACAAATATGAAACTTCGAAGAACATAATATATGGTGGAGAATCTAATAATACTTCGAAGGACAAATGATTTTCAAAGAAAATATACCAAGTGACTCAAGCATCTTGTCACATTCATCCAAGATAAAATGCCGCACATTCTTCAGGGAAAGGTCCTTGTCTCTTGTCAATGCCAATATCCTTCCGGGTGTTCCAACAACAATATGAGGGCATTCGTTCTTCAGAAGATCTTTGTGAATTTTAATATTCACCCCACCATAGAAGACTGCAACTTTCAGATCGGGAAGATAAGTGCTGAACCTTTCGAACTCATGACAGATCTAAAAAGGTATAAAAGAATGTTAGGAGCTAGGCATACATATAATGCAAAGAAATAGTTCTATACGTGCTTCAAGAGCAGTCATATTTAAAAAGATAAGCAGCACACTAACGCACCTGGTATGCAAGCTCCCTAGTATGGCACAGAACTAGGGCAGAAACTTGACCAGCAACAGGGTCAATCTGCTGCAATGTTGACAGAACAAAAACAGCAGTTTTACCCATACCAGATTTAGCTTGACAAATAACATCCATGCCGAGGATAGCTTGGGGAATACATTCGTGTTGCACTGATGAAGAACCAAAGAAAAGGATCGAACCAAATGAACTCTTGGTAAGTAAATTATAACGTCTCCGATCCTTTATGTGAAAGCTTTATCAAACCATATATATTGCTCCAAAATCAAGATTATGATATTAATTTATTACCTGCAAAACATAAAACAACAGATAAAAACATCTAAGATGGGCTGGTAACAAAAAGCAATTGAGGGGTAACTTTTATTTTGTGTGTGTGATGAGAACAAGTGGAAATAGCATATTCTAAAAAGACATTGTTTCCAAATTGATGTGCAAGTGTGTTCTCATCCATGAATTATACTGTCCAAAAAAGGTGTCAAGATATTTCTCACTATTTGAAACACAATAGCATACTTTAAGCAGTGTTTGGATGATAAATTATTGGAAATTGTGTTTAGTTAGACTGACATTAAATAGCCCCTTAGGTTGAGAAGTACAAGTGTTCTCAAGGCAACAAAATTTTAAGGTAGTGAACACAGAGAAATAAGTGAACTACTGTATCGTAGGTCAAAAAGATCAAGTTTATAGAAAATTTAAGAGTAATTGTCCCAATTTTAATTGTATTCACTTCCACTTTGGTTTAAGATTCAACAATTGAAAATTAAAAAAAAAAATAGAAATTTGCCTTCAGATGGATGCTCAAATCCCGAGTCCACAATAGCACGGAGAAGCTCCGGCTTCAATAGGAAGTCTCTGAATCCCGAACTGTGAATTCCAACATAACCCCTGAGAAAGAAGACAGTGAAAGAAGGTAAGGATCTATAACAAAAACAACAACAAAAAGAGCGACATTCCATGGGGAAAAAACCAACACATCGATATAAAATCATAATCTGCACGAAAGACATAGTAGGAAGAATAAATCATCGTTTTTTAGTTCACTGCAAGCTCAAACAGCTACATATTCCAACCGCTCTAACTCCAAACTAAACCAGACGAACAGAATTACTTCCAAATCTAAAATTTTCTCAAAACACGCATCCAAGACACCGTAGGGAACTATTCGACCCATAATTTCCAAATCCATATGCAAAAGCCTAAAAATAAAAAGATTAGAAATGGTGCTCAAGAAGACTACTCACTTCTTTCCAGCTTCACCGTTGACTTTAGCTCCAACGGAATCGGGTGCCTTCTCTTCCTCTTCCTCATAGTCGAGGAGCTCTTCCTCATATTCGTTGTCTCTTGTTTCTCCCATTTCTTCCTAAACATAAAACCAGAGAACGAATTCAATTTCATTCCAAGTTCACGAAAAACCAAATCCAACCCAACAACGAAACTAGGGTTTAAAACAGTAAGAACGAGAGATTAGTGCTTTCTAACACAAAGATTGAAATTACCTGTTAGCCTGCTAAGAACTCAACTTAAGAGTTAGGGTTGCGATTTCACAAAGTCTGCAAAGGAAAACTAAAAGTGTTAAGACCTGCCTCTCGAGGAATCGCAGAGCGCAGTGTGGAGGAAGAGCGAAGAGAGTAATTAGGGTTTCATCAAAAGAACTTCAGAACGGTTATAAAGGCGGAATTCTACTTCATATTGCCCAAAATACCCTTGCCCGATGCCTCTATTTACTGTGTCTTATGCGATAACTTCACCGCTTTATCTGATATTTTGGGGGTAAAAGTGAAATATTGAGATAAATGTGATAGTTCCAAAATATTATTATTAATTCGCGAATTGTTTGGTCTAAATTTACAAATTTTAAATTTTATGCTGATTTGTTTTTATATATATATATATATATATTTGTTTTTTTTTTTAATTTTCCATTTTCATCAATTATTTGGTTTATATTGCTAGAAACATTAATAAAAAAATAAAAAAAAAAAAATATTTTCGAATTATCCCAATATAAAATGTTTTTTTTTAATTAAATAAATTTTATAAAAATATATATAATTAATTTAAAACGTTTGTTCTTATATGTATTCACTGTCTAATGGATTACATAACAATGTCTCGTGTTTTACATATAAGATAATTTGTGTATTGATGTCTCGTGTTCTATTGATGTCTTCTTTTGTACACATAAACACTCGAGACGCAGTTAAACTAGGAACAAAAATAGATGTTTTCTTTCGGTCTTTTCACCTGCTCGTGGCTACCTACTTGTTCATCGTGCATTCACTCCAAAGATTTTTATATCAATGGATCGACCAATAACTAATTATGAAAATTAAAAATTTGAGACTCAGACCCATTTGGACTACAGGTTACGAACCACAAACATCCACAATTATATGATATTGTCTACTTTTAGGGTAAAGGAGATGCTATTCCACACGAATGCACAATCATTCGGTCTCCAAAGATCAACTAGAGGTCAATGGATGACGTGATGGGGGCTTTCCAACCTCGTCACTTGGGCATCTGGTGAGCTTGCAAGAGCTCAAATCCATGTCCTCCGAGTGGCTCCTAGCACCAGCATATTGGCACCAGAGACCAAAGACTGCGTCCAGTTCACGAACCAGCTCGCTCAACACCTTCAATGGCGATCTTCCTGGTTGTAGGCCGCCACGAATCGGTTGCGGCGCCGCCAAAATCTCAACTTTTCCCCGACACAAAGGCTCGTGTTCTTGGGCAATTGGTGAAGAATCTACCTCCAATTCTTACGACTTTACGACATGTCGGCTGAACGGGATTGACGTGTCGGTAGATTTCATGATTCACGATAAAGTCTCGGAACAAATAGGGAAATTCAGCAATTGGGTGATTATATAAAAATAAATAGACCATTTTAAAAGGCGGAATATATTCTCAACTTTTAAAATATTTCGACTAAAGCCCGACTGGATTTTATTCGAAGCCTCCTCACTTTCGACGTCACAAGGCAAAGCCGTTGGCTATCAGGGTTTCGGCGGCGCCTTCGCTTTATTGCTCACTGGCCTTCCTCGGTGCGCTTAGGCCTCTCTCCACCGCGATTTAGTGCTTTTCTTTGGCTGGAGACGCGTAAATAGCTCGAATGAGGTGAGTTTCTTGTGTATTTGCTTGTCTTTTCCATTCTCAATGATCATTTAGAGAAACCCCTTTTGGTCAGTGATCGCTCGGAGTAGGGTTTATTGGTCACTTTTTGGTTCTTCCCTTAACTTGTAGGGTAAACAATTAGAATCATTAGCTTTTTCGTGTATGATTTTAAGGGTATTTTACTTTGGTTTTGGAATCTTTAATAGTTGTATTTTTCTTCTTCATCAAGCAAAGTTGAGAGCTCGTTGGTTGGGGGTTTTTAGCCTCAAATCCTTTGATCAAGTTATGGGAAGTTGTTTACGCAGAGAAAGTATGTATTCTAGGTGTTGTCTACTCAGCCGCTTAGAGGGTTGTTCTAGCAAACCCTGTTGCTCGTTTTTACAGTTTTCTGGGAAATATCTGCGGGCTCTTATAGTTTTGGTGGTGGATAATCTCAAGCTTCTTTTTCATGTAAGGATCTTAATTTATGGCTTGGATTAGATATGAATCAGTTTATCTTCGAAGTCTTTGTATTCTGATTTCCTTCTCCCCAGATATGTATAAGTTGCTTGGGGATTTAGCTTCTTCTTCTTCTTTAATTACACTTTTTGGAGGATTGGGTGAGCAGCTTGAGAACCAGGGAGATTAGTAATGGCTAACAAAATTAAGGAGAATGAGTACAATTCCATTGATATCTACGACCGAGATGTAGCTAGGATTACGTAGCTGATAGCTTAAATTTGTGAGATCTCATGGTGGTTGGAGAGGGGAACGAAGCATTCTTTATAAGGGTGTGGAAATCTCTCCCTAGTAGACGCGTTTTAAGACCGTAAGGTTGGCGGTGATATGTAATGGGCCAAAGTGGACAATATTTGCTAGCGGTGGGCTTGGGGTGTTACAAATGGTATTAGAGTCGGACACTGGGCGGTGTGCTAGCGAGGATGCTGGGCCCTCAAGGGGGTGGATTGTGAGATCCTACATCGGTTGGAGAGGGGAACAAAGCATTCCTTATAAGGGTGTGGAAATCTCTCTCTCCCTAGTAGACACGTTTTAAATCCGTGAGGTTGATGGTGATATGTACGGGACAAAGTGGACAATATTTGCTAGCGGTGGGATTGGGCTGTTACAAATGGTATTAGAGTCAAGCACCGGGCGGTGTGCCAACGAGGACGCTGGGCCCTTAAGGGAGTGGATTGTGAGGTTCCACATCGGTTGGAGAGGGGAACGAAGCATTCCTTATAAGGTTGTGAAAACTTCTCCCTAGCAGACGTGTTTTAAAACTGTGAGACTGATGGTGATACGTAACGGGCCAAAGTGGACAATATCTGTTAGCGGTGGGCTTGGGCAGCTTAGGCTTGGGCTGTTACAAATGGTATCAGAGCAGACACTGGAAGGTATGCTAACAAGGACGATGGGCCCCAAGGGGGGTGGATTGTGAGATCCCACATCGGTTGGAGAGGGGGACAAAACATTCTTTATAGGGTGTGAAAACCTCTCCCTAGCAGACGCGTTTTAAAACCATGAGGCTGACAGCGATGCGTAACCGGACAAAGCAAACAATATCTACTAGCGGTGGGCTTGGTCTTGGGCCGTTACAAAATTGTTTGATAATGATATTGTTTTCTATTTTCTTATAATATGTCATAGTATTGATGCAAACTAAAGTATTTACTTTGAAGCTGCATTTTCAGTGGTTTTAGAATTCCTTTCAAGGATTTTATCCAGTTAACTAGAAGCATAGCTATAGAAACCCTTGTATAGAATGGAATTGATCACTTTATGAACTAAACATGGCTTGTACAGAGAAGAAGCTGTCGTGGACGCTGCACTGGACCTGCATTAGGTGATGCAATGGACGGGCCGTCTACTGGTCTGAGAGTCGAAGACCAAGAAGCTAAGAAACAATGCTTACCCGAAAATTTCGCAAGCTCTAGCACGTGTGAAATGGACAACAGTACAGTTTGGTCTCAAAGGAGCATGGCATCAGCTCAGTCGCATGATTCCCATAACAATGTTGGGAGCAGTACAGAGTTTGTAAATTCTGGTAAGTGTGCTTGCCTTGGATCTGCACGGTCTATTCCTTGAACTTTGGCTGTAATCTGTTTGTGGGTAAGGCTCTATTTTTGCTTGTTCTCTCGGTTTTCGTTGAGGATTGTTGGGAGGGAGTCCTACATTGGCTAATTAAGGAGTTGATCGTGGATTTATAAGTAAGGAATACATCTCCATTGGTATGAGGCCTTTTGGGGAAACTAAAAGCAAAGCCACGAGAGCTTATGCTCAAAGTGGACAATATCATACCATTGTGGAGATTCGTGATTCCTAACATGGTATTAGAATCATGCCCTTAACTTAGTCATGTCAATAGAATCCTCAAATGTCAAACAGAGAAGTGAGCCTCGAAGATGTAATCAAAAGTGACTCAAGTTTCGAACAAGGGGTGTACTTTGTTCGAGCGCTCCAGAGAAGTCGAGCCTTGATTGAAGGGGGAGGTTGTTTGAGGGCTCCATAGGCCTCAGAGGAGGCTCTATGGTGTGAGGCCCTATGGTGTACTTTGTTCGAGAGGAGAATTGTTGGGAGAGGTGTCCCACGTCGGCTAATTAAGGGGTATATCATGAGTTTATAAGTAAGGAATACATCTCCATTGGTATGAGGCCTTTCAGGAAACCAAAGGGAAAGCCACGAGAGCTTATGCTCAAAGTGGACAATATCATACCATTGTGGAGATCCGTGGTTCCTAACATGGTATCAGAATCATGCCCTTAATGTAATCATGTCAATAGAATCTTTAAATGTCAAACAAAGAAGTTTTGAGCCTCGAAGGTGTAGTCAAAAGTGACTCAATTGTCGAACAAAGTGTGTACTTTGTTCGAGTGCTCTAGAAAAGGGGTTGAGCCCACGGCCACTATGATTCCAAATGTTGTGCCTCAACAACTCTGTTGTTTCGGGTTCGGGGTAGATATGAAGGCTTGAATGCTTTTGGGGCTTATTTTTATCTGATACAATCTTGGTTACTAAAAGTAAAACAAAATTCATCATCTGTTCCAATCCTAGTTTTCTGAGCTTAAGCTAACCCGAATAAGCATTAATGATTTCAGGACTACTTCTTTGGAACGAAACCCGGAAGCAATGGGTCGGAAATAAAACGTCCGAGAGCCAAAAGCGAGTTCGAGAACCCAAAATAAGGTAAATGATAAACGTCTAACATAACACGATGCACGAACACAGAACTTGCTGTCAACAAAAATTAAGTATGCGCTGAATTCTTAATCTTCTGCAGTTGGAATGCTACTTACGACAGCTTACTTACGACGAACAAACCATTCCCGGAGGCCATACCTCTAGCTGTAAGTTATCAGCCGCCTTCACTTGTTACCAACTGTAGTTCGTTGTCGAACCCGAATATGACTGTTCTTTTGTATATGAAATGCCAGGAGATGATAGAGTTTCTTGTTGATGTCTGGGAGCAGGAGGGCCTGTATGACTGAGCCTGCTATTCAAGGGAGTCTCCTATTGCTTAAACTCATGCAGCTCGATTTTTTTCGCTGCCGACCCATATCGTCGATCATGAACAATCGCTCACTGCTTATACTATACGAATGTTAGTGTTTATGTTGAATTTGAGCTACTCGTTATGGGATCGTTTTGAAGGTATAGTTTTTTATGTCGAACTTCTGCTACAACTTTTAAAGGAACAAAAACTTTATAGTTTAAACGTCTTGACTAAACCGTTAGAGGTTCAAATTTTGACTCGTGATACCTGGTCGCATGACAAAAATACACAAACATAACCTCAAAACTGAAACATCGGACCATCCGAATACATTAAAAAACCAGGCAAAAATGTTGGTCAGGAAAATTAGAGAATCAAAGGTGAGATATTGATAAAAGTAGAGAGGTCCAGATGGCAAAAGCGGATTGGATGGAAGAGTTTCCTTATTCAACGGTGAAATATGAGATAAGGAGCATTGAATGAGTGGGAGATGTGGGTGTGAAGAGACAGTGGAATGAAATGATTGGGGTTTGACAGCAAATGTGTGTTGGGGTTTTGGTGTGACAAGGAAAGTGGGTGTGGGCTCATGACATTGATGGGAGCATCCCTCATTTACCACCTTAAACCCCGACTCGACTCAACCCGACCCAACTCACCACTTCACCAGACTCCATTCAATTCAACGCTCTTAATCATTCTATTATAACAAGTACATCACAAACTGCAGTACCAATCCTATCGATGAAGTACATAATTTGACATCATAGAGCGTGTTGACACACAGTCGAAATCACATTTTTTCGACAATGAGACAGCAATTGTGTGACACTTGTTCCAACCTATTGAGTAAATCAACCGTGTAAAAATTACAATTCACGGATAATTCGGACGTATGAGTGAGTCTTGAGCCACGTTTTGAGAGAATGTTCTAGAAAACGTGGGCACATAACTCGTTTATGAAAATCAATTCCATAGAAAACATGTGGGTAATGACGATTACAATACTTGATCAAGGGAGGTTTGGTGACTACTTGGTCCCCCATGTAGTAATACATTTTAAGATGGTTCAGGTCTGACAAGAATAGACATGATTTCGTCAAACGGTCGTATAAAATAAAATGAAATAAGAGAGTAGTAAACATAAGAGCAACTAAAAGAGGTTTGACATGTCATGGATATACAACCTTTGACAACACGTCTTGGACAAGTATAACTGTGACACACAACATCGTACTGGTATGAATATCTATCTTGTAGGTCAGCCCAGCTCATTGACTAAATCACTTTGACCGACGTTTAGTCAAACATGAAGATGTGTTGGTCTTTATTAATGTAAAACCACTTCTAATTCTAGTGTTATATTGAGGAGGGAGTCTTGAGAGGTTTGCTTTCTAGTGGGAGAAAAGAATCTCGAGCCAACTCGACCTAACCTAGTTGAAGCACCTCTAGCAAATGGAGCGACTGGGAAACAAATCTTATGCACAAACATCTCGGGATAGAGGTCGATCTCCTTTGGGGGGAGGCGGGTTCTCGTTCGTCTCCTTCCCCTCCAACATTTGAACTAAGACACCATCATGACATGTTGACTTAATCATTCGATGTTAATTGAGCTGGAAGCTTGGTGAAACTCACACCTGTGAACTATCGTAACGCCAAGAAGTTTCCTGTCGGGTACGAGCGAGTCATTTTTCTACATTCTTTATATAAAATTTAAAAAAAAAAAAAGCATGCTTATTATATAGTTTAATTTGGTTAATTAAATTTCGTATAAAGTTAGCCATCATGGATGCTTACGTGGCAGCAAGTTGCAAATTAATTAATTAATTAATTAATTAGGGCTAATCAATGTCTATTTATTCCTTTCGAAACGGTCAAATGAAAGAGATGGGTATGCATGCACAATCCCTATTTCGGGGTGATTTAAATGCTCTAATTAATAAAATTTAATATTTTAGACTTTATTTTAAATTATAATTTGCACAACTAATCACGCTTTAACTTAGTGACTTTAGTTAATTAAATTATTTTTACTTCGTTCTCCGTTTTAACCAATGAATATTATAATTTACTTTATATAGTTTTAAGAGGTCGGCTATCGTCTTTGAAGTACATTATTAGTCTATTAGAGCTCTACCCCAAACCTATGACTACACCTTCGAGACTCGTAACATTTTTGTTTGATACTTGGGTCACTATGACTGTGAGATCCCACATCAGTTGGGGAGGATAATGAATCACAAAGGTGTGGAAATTTTTCCCTAACAGACGTGTTTAAAAATCTTGAGGGAAAACCCGAAAGGGAAAGTTCAAAGAGAACGATATCTGCTAATGGTGAGCTTGGGCTATTACAAATGGTATCAGAGCTAGACACAGAACGGTGTGTCAGCGAGGAGGCTGTTCTGTGAAGGGGGGTAGACACGAGGACGCTAGGACCCAAAAGGGGTGGATTTGGTAGGGGTCCCAAATTGATTGGAGAAAAGAACAAGTGTTAGCGAGGACGCTGAGCCCTAAAATGGGATAGATTGTGAGATCTCACGTCGATTGGGGAGGAGAACGAAACACCCTCTATAAGGGTAGCAGACGCGTTTTAAAAACCTTGAGGAAAAACTCAAAAAAGAGAATATCTACTAGCGTTCGAGGATAAAAGGACAACCTTGATACCACTGATACGACACAACTGACTTCCACAGTGGTGTAATATTATCCACTTTCCTAAAAAACATTATATCAATGAAGATAGTGTCGTTTACTTATATACTCAATATCTTTTCTTTAATTAGTCAACGCAGAACTCCAACATTTACATATCGTCCATATACGCCAATCAGTTAAAATTTTTGAAACTCTCGTGTAAGTATCATTAACTTTGACGTTACATGTTTAATTTTGATTTGTTCTTTTGATTGTCACGTATGCTTCATCCGCTGTCAATCAGTACCTCACGATAACTATAATGTCTATTTATAAAATTATTAAATTTAGGAGACAAAATTATAATTTTTAAAATTATAGAGACTAAATTCTAATTTTATTTTTAATTATTTTGTAAATTAAAAAAAGATTCTCATTCTTATAATATTATAATATAATGTATTTATATTGAATAATAAAGTAATTGCAAGTGGACGGTGGTGTTGGATTGGGTGCTTTTGAGGGAAAGAGTGGAGAAAGTGGAATAATAATAATAATAATAATAATAATAACAATAAAAATAATAAAAATAAAAAATTAATTAATTAATTATTATTTTTTTAAATGTGAAATCCCAAATACGAAGAAGCCTTTCATTTCAGACCAATGAACACAGCAAGAGAATCCATTGGTTGGTCAGTCAATGGCTCTAAGAGAGGATTGGTACCTCCGTCAAATATTAACCGTTTGACCTAATATATTAAAACTTCGGTAATATCTTGGATCGGGTTTAAAATTTTATCGAGCAGTCTAAATCTATTATTAGTAGATATTGTCTGCTTTGACTCGTTGCGTATCTTTATCAGTCTCACAGTTTTAAAACGTGTATATTAGATAGAGATTTACACACCTTATAAAAAATGTTTCGTTTCCATCTCTAACTGATGTGTGATCTTACACTTGTATTATATTTTTACTATTTGAAAATTCTAATAATCTCGTGCATCGTAAATGTACTACAAAAATTACCCATTGGATTGGTGAAGTGATTAGTAAATATATATATATATATATACTAAAGATGAAGAGAAAATAAATAAATAAATAAAAACAATTTAATATTGTTTTGAATGGAAGTGTTTTTAGAACGTTTTTAATGGGAAAAAAACCTCTTGAATATTTAAAAACAGTAATTAAAAAACAAAGTAATGGAAGGTACGAAAATATTATAAAATAATATAATTAGTCAAAATTTCGTCTAAATAAAACGGCTCTTTTAAAGAGCACATTTTTGTTGTTTCCCATGTCACTAGTGGACGTGCAAATAAAACCCTATTTCTTTTGTAGTTTTTTGTTCGACATTTGAGAATTCTATTGACATGGTTAAGTTAAGTTAGATGAACACGACTCTCCACAATGGTATGATATTGTCCACTTTGAGTATAAGCTCTCGTGGCTTTACTTTGGGCTTCCCCAAAAGACCTCGTACCAATGAAGTTAGTATTCCTCAGTTATAAACCCATGAACATTCCCTAAATTAGCCGATGTGGGACTTTCATCATTCAACACGATGGAACATAATAAACATATTAAATATAAATTTAAAATTTTAGAAACTAAAAAAATTTAATGTTAGAAACCAAACAAGAGTTGGTTTGGGGGAACTTGCAGGGTTAGGGTAATCTTGTGTCCAAACAGGCTGTAATCCTATGAAGAATATGGAAGGAATAGGATAAGCGAGTATCCAAACAGGGTGAAAATAAAATGCAATCTTTTCAAGAAAAAAGAAAACATAAAAACCAGCGTATGGTTTAATTGATTTGATTAGGTGGAAGAATATAAGCAAGGAGGGCCCACCATTTTGTGATCAGATACAATGCATGTGGGTTTTGTTAGCGTGTGTTCGCGTGTATTGAAACCCTTTTCTCAATTCTCAATAGTCAATAAGACTCGTTTTGATTCATTCGGTACCTTTCATTTTCCTCTTACCTTCTTCATCATCTTCTTCTTCTTCTTCCTTTTTTCCCTATCTTGATAGGGTTTCCATGTCCTCTTGCCTTTCATCTGTCTCATGCATCAGCTCTTCCCACGTCAAAGCTTGGTGATCGCCGTCTTCACCTTTCTTCGCTCTCTTTTTTTTCCTCTCTTTGGAGGGTTTTTTGGTGGCGTGCTGCCGACAGTCGAGTTTTTCGGTTTCGTCAAGCCGTATCCATGGCTAAGATCTTTGGTTTTACTCGTAAGGTTTCTTTGACTCTGGATCGTTTATTTTTCTGTTTGATATCTTGATTTTGATTGGTTTTAGATGATAAGTTGTAGTTTCCCTATTTTTTTTTAGTGTTTTGTGCGAACTACGATCTTTAGCTGCTGTGATTTGTCAGATCGTTTATGTTTTTCCTTTTGATTTTGGTAGTTGATCGGATCTTAGGTTTGGAGGTGTTTGGTGATTTGGAGATTTAGGTCTTTAGGTTATGAATTTTGATGTTGCTCTGCGGTAACTTGTAGATTCTAGAGGTATACGGATTTAGATAAACTGTTTCAAGACTTAACAGAGTCGAATCTCATGAACTTTGATGTTTGTGGAAAAGACTCGT